CAGAACAGAACGTGGAGAAACAGAATGGTTCCCAATTGGCAAAGGAGTTGCATCCTATCACCCTGCCTATTCGACTTATATGCAGAACATATTGTAAGGAAAGCAGGCTTGGATATGGAAGAGGGAGGAGTGAAAATAGGAGAAAGAAATATCAATCTGAGATATGTTGACGATACCATAATACTAGCAGAGAACCCACAGACCTACAACAACTACTAAGGAAGATCAAAGAAGAATGTGCAAAGGCAGGCTCACTGTTGAACATAAAGAAAATAATAATAATAATAATAATAATAATAATGGGGCAGTGTACAACAAATTAAAACATCACAGTAAGTTAAAATCAATCCAAATCCCATACCATATTTCCATACCCACTCACCCCTTAAAAATAAATTAAACTAATACAGATTAAAATAACAATAATTAAAATATGCAATGCAAAAAAAATTTGACAATTTACAATACTAGTATACAGAGTGATGTTAAACAAGGCAGTAGAAGGGCAATGGTCAAATCTTATGTCTTCTGGGTTGGGATGTTATTCAGGGAAGGCCTGCCAGAAAAGATCCATCTTAACAGCTTTTTTAAAGCTGTCTAGAGTGGTAATGAGATGGATCTCGTCCGGCAGGCCATTCCATAGTCTGGGGGAGGAGGCAGAGAAAGTCCTCTGGGAGGTCACCGACAGCCTAGTTCTCATAGGCTGTAACAGGTTCCTCCCAGAGGACTGAAGTGCATGGGGAGGATCGTATGGAAGGAGGCGATCCCGGAGAAAGGTTGGACCCAAGCCATGTAGGGCTTTAAAGGTCATAACCAACACCTTGTACTGTGCCCGGAAACTAATGGGCAGCCAGTAGAGAGATTTCAGCACGGGTGTAATGTGCTCTCTCCTGGATATTCCAGTAACTAGCCTGGCTGCCATGTTTTGAACTAATTGAAGTTTCTGAGTTAGGCACAAGGGTAGCCCCATGTAGAGTGCATTACAGAAATGAAGACGGGAGGTTACCAGAGCATGTACCACAGTTTCGAGATCCCTACTTTCCAGGAAAGGCGCAGCTGGCATATCAGCTGAAGCTGATAACAGGCACGCCTGACCATCGCATTCACCTGATTAGTCATGTGAAGCAACGAATCTAGGAGTACCCCCAGACTGCGAACACAGTCCTTGGAGGAGAGTGTGACTCTATCCAGGACTGGAAGTTGTATTCCCAGACCTGGTTTTGGGCCCGTCACCGTTAATACCTCCATTTTGTCTGGATTCAATTTCAATCTGTTTTTCCTCATCCAGTCCATTACCTCCTTAAGACAATCATTGAGAGGAGAGACGCTATCTGAGCTGATGATCGGGTCATGGAGAAATATATCTGGGTGGCATCAGCATACTGATGACACCATGCCCCATGCCTCCGAATGATCTCTCCCAGCGGCTTCAAATAGATATTAAATAGCATCGGGGACAGGATGGTGCCCTGTGGGACACCACAATCAAGCTCTATTCTAGATGAGCAAGTGTCCCTGAGCCTCACCCTCTGAGATCTGCCCGAGAGGAAGGAACGGAACCACTGCAAAGCAGTGCCTCCAATTCCTAACTCTCTCAGGTGATCCAAGAGGATGGAGTGGTCTATAGTGTCAAAGGCCGCTGAGAGGTCCAAGAACACCAGGAGGGTCACACTACCCCAGTCGATGCTCAAGCGGAGGTTGTCAGAAAGCGCAACCATGGTGGTCTCAACTCCAAATCCTGCCCTAAAGCCGATTTGAAATGGATCTAGATAATCGGTTTCATCCAAGACAGCTTGGAGTTGGGAAGCAACTGCCCTCTCGATCACCTTACTTAAAAAAGGCAGCAAGGAGACTGGCCTATAGTTGTTTCTGTCCAGGGAGTCCAGGGAAGGCTTTTTCAAAAGCGGTTTAACCACTGCCTCCTTTAAACAATGAGGCACAGAGCCTTCCCTAAAGGACGCATTGATAATATTTCTAGGAAATACCCTCAGTGCATCACCCCCCTGGACAGCCAGCCAAGATGGGCAAGGATTGAGAGGGCAAGTCGTCTTCCTCACTCTTCCAAGGAGCTTGTCCACGTCATCGGTACTCACAGATTGAAGCTGATCCAGTAAAATTACATCAGTGGAGTTGCTGGACACCTTGTCTATTGATTATGATCTAACACTGGCGTCTAAATTGGCTCTTATCCAAGAGATTTTATCTGCAAAGTGGTTATTAAATGCGGCACAGGAGGCTGTTGTCGGGTTAAGTAAGGGGTTCTGTGCAGGTACCACCTGCGTCAGTTCCCCCACCACCCTAAACAGTTCTGCTGGACAAGACTCTGCAGATGCAATACGTGTAGAGGAGAAAGACTTTTGCACTGCACGTATTGCCTCCCGATAGGAATCAAGATGTTTCCAATGGCGAGTTCTGTCAGATAAGAGTCGAGTCTTCCGCCATTCGCGCTCTAGTCGTTGTCCGACCCGCTTCATCTTCCTAAGCTTCTTTGTATACCAGGGCCTACGATTAGAAGTGGGTTGGAAAGGATGCTTGGGAGCAATTGTGTTGATAGCCCTGGTAAGATCGGTGTTCCAATCTTGTTCAGTCTGCATGAGATGAAAAGCTTTTCAAATCACAAATAGGGATCATCAATTATAATGAGGGACACCTGCCAGCCCTATAAGTCTCAAACTTTTATGCCCTCAAATAAGTAACATTCCTTATGATAAGAGACATATGGCAACCCTAATGGGAACTGAAATCCAAAATGTCTGGAGAAAAACAGGGTCTGAGTCCAATTGCTAGTTCCAATTAGAGTAGACTCAATGAATAAATTGCTGAATGGCAAATCAACACATATGTAAACGCCATTGATCTAATTAACCTATACCAGCAGGGACTACTAACTGGATTTAGGGCCAGGTTTTCCTTCATTTTCACCAGAGACCAGGCTGGAACTAGTCAGAAAACTGAGAACTATCATTGGATTAAATCCTGTTAATCCTGACTAGAGTAAATCCATTGAATCAGTGACATTGACCCATGTGTTGACTTGCAATTCAGCAATTGATTGAATTGTCTACTCTAGTTCAGACTAATCAACC